GGCTGTTCAGTTAATGGAGCCACAGCATTCGCCGTGGGAATGAGGAATTACTGAATCCTGAGCCAGAGCCCGAGCCTGCCTGAGATGCTGGTGGTACCCTAGGGTGCGTTACACATGGCCAGAGACATCTAGTAACCTGCTGCTGCTGTGCTTTGGCTGGGTGCTAGAGGATGGCTTTGGATCCTGCCCCGTTGGCCAGGGCTGTGCGGCTGTTGTGGGTTTGCTAAACTATATTAGCTAATGGCCTTTCTGGCCAGAGTCAGGCAACATGTGACACCACCCAGCAAAGCCAAGCCAGTGGCTGCTGTCAGGCATGTGCCGCGCTGGACCCTCTTATCCAGGAGGGAGGAGATTCTGGCAGAAGCTTGTGCTCTACCCTCCGAAGAGAGTGCAGGTTACTTCACTTCTTATCCCAAATGTCAGCAGTAAAGCTCTGTTTATGGCCCCTGTGTTGACCCTTGAGTTACACACTGCGCTGGGCATCAGCCCTGCTTTTCCTCTCTGTCCCCACAGCCAGGTGAAAAGCATGGGCCATCAGGTGGCTACAGGGGCACGAATCTAGGCAAACCTCCCCATCTCTCCACTGCAGCTCTGGTGTTGGACAGGCCAAGCCAGTGAGATTGCAAAACCAGCCACCTGGCCTCCCATGGCACGGAGGGAGGAGGGGGTTCCCTTGCTGGACTCTGCAATCAAACTCAACCTAGCAGCTCAGGTTCCAGGTGCAGCGTCTTGTTCTGGGGCTGCTTCTGCCCTCACTTGACTTACAAGCTTCTTTCACAAATTGCTGTATCCCGCCCACTCCCTTGAAAAGGGTTAGGTAACATGTAACGAGAGACTCTGCACCTCCTCTACACTTTAATTTCATTGACTAATTACGTTGGTTTGTTTAACCTTGAGCCTGCTTCAGCTCTCAGTTCATGGAGAAAATGTAACTTTTGGCGTGAGGCTGCAGTGGGTCATGTCAAATGGCCAGGCTGCCCCAGTGGATGGCAGCCAGACATGCTCCCCAAAACAGAACAAGCTTACACAGCTTTATGAAAAGAAAATCCAGGGCATGGCCTTGGCAGACGCAGCCCCCTTCTCCCCTGTACGTAAGGGTGGAGGGGACAGGCTGTCCTAGCAGAGGCATGCTAGCACAATAGCGAGGAGTTCCTCGTGGCACAGTTCAAATGGGGTCACTCTAGCTAACTTCCGTGGCCCTGGCTGCACCTGGAGTGCTGCCTTGTGACTAGGGATGTAAAATACCGTTTAATCCGCTAACTAGTTAAGCTTTATGTTTAGCTCATTAACCACTTAAACAGGGTGGGCAGCCCTGACCCCTTGCCTGCAGTGCAACAGGCCTGGCTGCTTTAGCCAGGCTGGGGGCAGGGTCCTGCTCTAGTCCAGCCAGGCCACCAGTTAACCACTGACATCACTTTGTGGCCCTGCCAGATAATGGCGCAGGGAGGCGGGGATGGGAGCAGCCCCTCTGGTAGGAGCTGAGTTTACACTGTGTTGAACTCATGTCCGCGTTACACACATTTTAAAACCAGCAAAGCCATGGGCAGGTTCTAGTGTGAGGCTGAAATCTGAAGAGCCCTCCCTGCCTCCTAGAATCACAGCAATGGACTGGAAGGGTTCGTTAGAGGCCAGCAAGTCCAGCCCCCTATGTTGAGGCAGGACCATCCCCAACAGCCATGTGGCCAGCCTTTTCTAAAAACCCTCCAGTAACATGGATTCCCCAGTCACCCTGATACCTAACAAGCCTGGTACCTAGTGAGCCCTGCTCTGGTAATTAATGAGTCTTATTGTTAAGTTTTCTTTTGTGATACCTCTTAGTCTGTCTTCTGTGGACTCAGAAGCAATTGACCAAAGTGCTCTTGCCCATGAGCTAGCCTGGGCCAAATGAAATGAGCAAGGACTTGGTCTAGGTTGGAGCCTCTAGCTCTGGGAAGGGAATATTAGAGAGTTGATTGAACTGACCCAGGAGGAAATTCAGGCCTCAAGAGTGGGGGAGAGGAATACCAGCCAGACACAGAGAGAGATGCTGAAAATGGTAGGCCCCAAGGATGCTAGAGGGATTTCCTCTCTCCCTCCCTCCCCCCAAGAACTTACTCCCTCCCTTGAAACAAAATACAGGACTATGTAGCACTTTAAAGACTAACAGGATGGTTTATTAGATGATGAGCTTTCGTGGGCCAGACCCACTTCCTCAGATCAAATAGTGGAAGAAAATAGTCACAGCCATATATACCAAAGGATACAATTAAAAAAAAGTGAACACACATGAAAAGAACAAATCACATTGCAGAGCAGAAGGCGGATGGGGGGGGAAGGAAGGTGAATGCCAGTGAGTTAATGATATTAGAGATGGGGAAGGGGAATGTCTGTGAGTTAATAGTATTAGAGGTGATAATTGGGGAAGCTATCTTTGTAATGGGTAAGGTAGTTGGGGTCTGCTGCTTCCTAAATAACATTAGGTAATTGAACACAGGGGCTGTGGCGCTTTGGTACAGACAAGTGCCATGGGGCCGGGGGCCTGCGTTCTGAGCCGCCAGAGCCTGTGCAAACACACACAAGACAACTTTCCAGCTGTTTGTTCCCTCTTTCTAAATGAGAAGCTGCCCTAACCACTGACCACAGGGGCTGCTCAGCCTGGTTCCCAGCGCCAGCTCATGCAGCTCTGAGTCAGCGCAGGCTAGTCGAAGGGTTCAGACCAGATCCTGTGCGCAGGGCAGATGCAGAGCCGTAATGCCACTTCTCGGCTTTGGAGAGGTGGCTTCTGGCCCTCTGCCAAAGCACATGGGATGAGCAGGAGCATCCCAAGGCATTTTTCATTGCACGGCCACAGAGGGGGGAGCATCCTCCTCTGTAAATTGCACTAACCCAGTGGTTTGAGCCTGACCCAGGAGAGGGATCTGGAGGAGCTTGGGTCACTTCTTGAGGGAGAGCCTCTCCCTCTGCCACCAGCTCATCAGTACACGACCATGTGGCTTCCTTGGCCAGCAGGGGAACTAGGGCCTGCCTTGAGCAGGGAGTCAACCAGAGAGCACCTGGACAGGGCACCAACAGTGACCATAGGCCTTCTGTTCTATGTTCTGCCTCCTCCCGCCTTGAGATAACTGGCGTGCGTACAGACAGGTTCCTATGGGTTAGATGCTTAGGAATGACACCAGAGAAGGCTTAAGGCCAACTGAGGAAACTTACCGCTCACAGCTTGGATTTCCCTTAGCCTGCTGCAGGTACATTGGCCAGTTGGATTTCTCTCCTCTCCCTGCAGGTCCTGGCTCAGGCAACACCATCTTGCTCCCGTTCTCAGTCTCAAATTGGAGCTCTGAACTTAGCCTTACCCACATCGGTCCCTCCAGCTGCCCCCGGCTACACATGGCAGACGACATTCATCCCAGTTCTCAGCCGGAGCAGATCTTCCACCTGGTGCCCTCTCCAGAAGAACTGGCTCACAGTCTTCAACACAACGATGTAGCCACCATGCACACCAGTCGGCAGCGGGACTCGGGCCATGTGCGAGCTATTGACAATCAGTATACGCCGCTCTGACAAGATGGGGAGAGGGGGTTGCAAACCACGCACTTTGGCATGGAAGCCCATTAGATAATTTTTGCTATATATTTTGGGAAGCCCATGAAAAGAATGTAACTAGTTCTGATTAGGGAGATTTTTGTAAGGGAGAGGGAGTATAGATACATAATTTGTTCACTCCAATCTGGGTGTGATCTATTAGGTCTGTTAAAGGGCCTGTTTTACATATTAATCAAAACTTTCCTATTACTGTTTACACAGGTCGTTCCTGTTAACATGCCACGCTCTCTGCCTTTTAGGCTAGCGTCTGCACTTAAGTAATCGGTATAGACTGTCGCTTTCTGTCTCCGCTGCCCTTTTGGACATGATGGAGCCCAGAAAACAAACCAGCATATTAAGTTACAGCCATGTAATTGGACAAAAATGGATTAGAAGTTCTCTGCAACAAGTTACTGGTCTGGGCTGTGCATAAAACAGAGAAAAGTCACTTCCTGCAGGCCAAGGAATGTCTTGCCGTTGCGTAAGTCATAGTTCCACATTTCTAACAGAGCAGATGTCTTATCGCTAACATGAGTTTATTCAGTATTTTTGGACAGAGTGAAGGCTTTAATTTAAATCATGTTAGCATTTTTTTTTAAAGTTGAAGTTACTGCTGCAGCTATGGGTAAAAGAAATGCTTACATCTCTTAGCTATGATTAAAAAGTGAACACTAACTTCCTCTCAGTGAGGTCAGCTTAACACAACTGATCAGAGGATGAGAGAAGACTGACATCTTGTCAGAAAGAGCCTTGGAGTAAAACTTCTTTCTGCTGTGGAAATCTTATTGGCACAAGTCTACAGTGAAGCAAAAGTGTGGGTTCCTTCCCCCCAATAAGTTATGTGAGTTTGGTTTTTCAAAGCAAGAGGTGTGTTGACAAACAGCTGCTGTTGCTTGCATTTAACAAAAAAAAAAATTTAAATACCAGATCATATTTGGGAAAGTAAAGCTATGCAAATGTTACTTCCCTGTGTGCCATAGTTTTCTAGTCAGATTGGATATAACCTTTTCACCGCCTGTATCTCCTCCCCTCCCTTCAGCATCCATAGGTCTCAGGAAAATCAGATGGACAGTTGGATTTTTTAAATACCATTTTTGCTATTTATAGAGAAGTAACATGAGTAACAAACAGTTACCCAAAAGGGGGGTTCACTAATGAACCTTCTTATTCTTGTGCCTTACTGTGACTTTGGCATTTCCTTGGTTAGGAGGAGATGTGACTTGTTTGCTTTCGTGTGTCTTTCCAGAGAGATGGGTCCATGAAGCTGCAGGTTCTGACTTAAGATTCATAGTTTAACAAACAATAAGGCCACGTCTACACTGGCATGATTTTGCGTAAATACTTTTAACGCAAGAGTATTTGCGCAAGAGAGCGTCTACATTGGCATGTGCCTTTGTGCAAGAGATGTGCTTTTGTGCAAAAGCATCTGTGCCAGTGCAGACGCTCTCTTGCGCAAGAAAGCTCTGATGGCCATTTTAGCCATCGGGCTTTCTTGCGCAAGAAATTAACGTTGCCTGTCTACACTGGCCTCTTGCGCAAGAACAGTTGCGCAAGAGGGCTTATCCCTGAGCGGGAGCGTCAGAGTATTTGTGCAAGAAGCACTGAATTCCTACATTAGAATGTCAGTTTTCTTGCGCCAGTACTCGCGGCCAGTGTAGACAGATGGCAAGATTTTGCGCAAAAGCAGCAGCTTTTGTGCAAAATCTTGCCAGTTTAGACAGAGCCTAAATGTGTGGTTTCACTAACCCCCCATAAAACAGAAATGTTTCTCGGCTGAGCTACCCTGCTCAGGGAGTGTCTGACCCTTAGAATGGATAAGATGCCTTCATGTCCGCTCAGGATCAAACCCCCTTGTGGAGGGAAAAGACAGCAATTGCTTAGAGAAGGAAGGTAACATTTAACTAGCAGCAGAAGTAAGACAAGCCAGCATCATATAATCACTCAATGCTCCACCGAACCAATGTGTTGCCACTGAGGAAATAAGAATCACATGAAATGAGACTCATTTAAATATTCACTCTGGATCCTCTCTACACTTAGCCAGAGAGTTTTGGTTTTTGGGTCACCAGGCAGTGAATGCAAGAAAAACACAGCTGTATTTATGTCCTGCCTAGTTATTAAAAAAAAAATCCTCTGCATTGTACTTGTCACTTTACTTAAATGGTGGGAGAGAGGAAAAGATACTTCCATCTCAAATTAGCAGCAGAAAATGTAAACTGTGCAAAGAATTCCTGGCAAAGAATTGAAAGGCCTATAGTTTGTTTTGCCAGCATTGAGTCACACCAGAAGGGGCACTATGATAGAAGAGACTCCCTTGGATCATGGTGTACAGGAGCAATTTTTTTTTAAAGGTTTAACTTGAAAAGCCCCTTGATTGTCTGGCTTTTATACACCCTATACTCATCTTGGAAGTTGGCAAAATATATTGTTCTCTATAGCTCACCTTTGTGCATTCGACAGCACTCTAAGGCAGAGAACAACCCTTAAAAATTCTGACCAGAGGCTGAGGTTCTGGACACACATGGAGCCAGGATTTCTGCATCAACTGGAATTCCGCAATCAATCAGCCAGTTTTTTTAAACAATGGAACTCAAGTGGCCAGTGCCCTTAACTTCCACCAAACACATTTCTGCTGCAAGAGCAGACTCACCAACAGTCTCAGTAGCTCAATCACTGTTCCCAGTTGGTCTTAGGATTTCTCATAGGCAAGGTATTGCCCAAATCCAGCGTGGTAGGCTACAATATAATAGGGCTCAGTTAATACAACTATCCCCAGGATGGTTTTTGCCAAACAATTCACTGTCCTCCATCTCTTGAGAAACTCAGAGGGTGGAGTCTCAGTGGGAGTAAATCACCTAGTGCCCACACCCCTTTACTTTTAAACAAGGAAGGCTTAAGAACTATAGGACAATGAGGTGTAAGTGTGCAGGCTACAGCACAACACTTACCTCTGCAACCCTTAGGAAATGCTTGGTTTGTAGGTTAAACCTTGATTTGATGCCATCAGCAACACTTCGCAATGACCACAAACCAACCAGCACCAAATCTTCATTCAATAGAAGGTAAGGCAGCTTTTACCCACGTTAGTGAGTGATCAGAGCAAGGAAAGAGCATGGCCTTGACAAAACATGGTCATCACAGCCCTCATGCCTATTGGTGCTGCTTCTGGGTTGGGGTTTTTGGCCCACCAAGTCTTGTTTAAGGGCCAGCAGCCAACCACACACACACTTGATGTATTATATTTCATTGCTAAGGCTGCTTTAATGGACTAAACTGAATCTTCTTATTGAGTACAATATATCCCAGGTGTGTGTCATTCATTCAGGGCTCCTATACAAACATATCCAAGTAGGCTCTCTGACAGGAGGGTGGGAGCAAAGGGGGCAGTTACCCAAGGATCCAGCCATTCAAAAGAGCCCAGGGCTAGGACAGGAATAGCAGTAACAGCACTCCAGGTGGTTCTGAGAGCTAGCTATCCCCAGCCCTATCCCTTCTGAGCCCCACAGAGACAGAGACAGGCCTTCCACTTTGCCCAGGGCCCCAGTAAGTCTGGCACAACCCCTCCATATAGCCACACATCCCTATCAGTACCTTTGCCTGGTACCTAGCTGCAAATCTGTTCTGATTATTCACTAAAGTTGCTATTTCAGAGTTAGCCAAAGCTAGGAAGAAGCTGCAGAGTCCAGAATAAAAGGCTGTCACAGGCCAACAACTCACTGCTAAAGGAAATTGTGTATGGAGTGGGAGGAATTGTATAGTGAAAGCTAACAGACTGTTTGCAACCTCCAGCCACATGGCTGTCAACCACTTTCCCCACCAGTGTTCTACCCATCTCATTCCTTCCCCAGCCTAAAGGTTTCTATTCCCTCACTGGACAGATATTCTTCCATACCTTTCCTTTGTTACTGCAGTAGAGTAGCTCGTCTCCCCCTCACTCTGGGATGGGATCCTAGAACTATTTATATAGTAATTCCAGGGCCAGATCTTTAATCTACACTCCTAGGTCCTGGGAGGCTGATTTTAGCAGGGACAGAATTCTCAGAAGTAGATGGCTTGTGATACATTTCCAAGTCTGACTTGTTTCCCGTCCACTTCTGCACCACCAGGATTACTTTATTACATGAAATCAGTACACACCAATTCTCTACTAAGAAACATGGGGACAAACTGATAAGCTCTTGATATAAGTTATAATTGTATGGACTTCTCTAGTTACTTGGCAAAAAAGATCTTAATAAAGTCTATGGCATGTTTCAACATAGACTTTAAGACTTTTTAAATATTTAAATGAAAGTTAATAACATCTTGTGGGCCAAAGAATTATCCCCCTTGGTGAGTGTTCACAGGAAAGTAGCTTTCAGTCATCACAGCCTTAGAAGGATGGAAAGGCAAAAGGAGGACACTAAACTTTTGCACTTCTCTCCTGAGCAGTGGAACTCAGTTGCACTGCCACCTGGACTACTGGATACCTGGGAACACTGCCAAACAGCTGCTGAGCTTGGCATAAGTTCTTAGCCCGTGACAATCTCAGGGCCCAGAGAAGGGACACACAAAATTAAATCTGACTGATTTGTTCCAAAATCTAACCTAGGAGGCTGAGTGATTGTAAACAGCTTATCTAAGGGCTGGCATCATAAAGGAGACCCAGCATGTCTGTTCTTCCACAGCAATAGGCACATCGGGGCTTCTGAAACCTTTCTAGTTTCATAGTTACTTAAGGCGGTGTTCCACAATAAATACATAGTAGGATCTAGGGCCTCACCTGCTAGCCCAAGCTTCTCTCTGGTGATAGGCTGAGCTAGCTATCATACACGCTACAGGGAGTGCCAAAATATAAACCTGACTAGGCTTTGGCCCAGGTGCAGAAAGACCTCTCCCATCCCCAACTCTATACCCCTTGTTCTTATGAAAGCATTTGCTTGCTATTTGCTGACAGACACTGCCTACAGGCAACTCTTGCATGTCCTTGTGGGAGACAT